AAGTCAGGTACGTACCTGGCTTCAGTCAATAACCTTATTGACTCATCATGGAGCTTGAATCTCACAGATCCAATACCTGCAATTTTGCAAGATTTGTTGTTTCCCAGCAGCACAGATCCACCATCTTCTCCTCGAATAGTTCTCTGTTTGGAGTCATGTGCCAAGTGAAACCTCAATCCATAATCCACTCTTTTCTTGAGTCGCCACTTGAAACTACAAGAACATCAGATGAGTCGAAGTCATCTTGAACAATGGCTGCATTTCCATTACCTCCATGATCTTTCAGGCGTTCAGGACACACCTTTGTTATATGACCTTCCTTCTTACAGTGATAACATCGAATACTAGATGTTTCGTCACTATAAGACTTCTGTTGACTTTTACCTTTTTTCTTGTCGAACTTACCATCCTTTCGCAAGAATTTTCCCTTAACGGCCAAACCTTTGCCCACCATCGAAGGTTTATGCTCCTTTCGTTTGCTCAAGTCCTTAGAATACAAGGTTGATTGACTTCTTTAAAGGTCAGGGACTCCCTTCCATACGAGAGAGTTTCTTTGAAGTGAGCATGTGTTCTGGGCAAAGCACACAACAACAACAGTGCTTGATCTTCATCATCGATCTTCACATTAATATTTTCAAGATCAAGAATCAGCTTGTTGAACATATCCAACTGCTCAGCCAACACTTTATCTTCACTCATCTTGAATGAATATAAAGCTTGCTTCAGGTAGAGTCGATTCACCAGAGATTTGGTCATGTACAAACTTTCAAGTTTCACCCATAATCTTGATGTTGTAGTCTCCTTTGATACCTGTCGAAGAACCTTATCATCAAGGCTCAACAATATTGCGATGTGGGCTTTCTCGATCATGCCCGTCTTTTCTTTTGCCTTTAACGCATCGTCCATGGCTGCCTCACCCTTCAACGCTTCCAAACAACCCTACTGAACCAATAGGGATTTCATCTTCAAGCGCCACAGATCGAAGTCGTTCACTCCGGTGAACTTTTCAATCTCATACTTTGTTGAAGGCATCTTTTCCAGGCTCACTGCACCAATTTGTTGTGAATCGGATACCTTAAAACTAAGCATAAACAGTTTCTTAATGATCAAGAAACACACAAGGGTTAGAGTTAATAAAGAAGAAAACAACAAGGATTGGTTATTAAACTGCTATTCTTTCCTTTCTCTTAGAACAAGATTATAAGTATACAAGAATAACAAAATAACCTCTCTCTCTCTCTTGAAATTAAGATTTTATCTTCCTATTTTTCCTTATGACAAGATTGAGAAACTAGTATCCTATTTATAAGAAAAATAGCACACTAATCTAATGGGCTTTTTAACAATTATCCATTACAAGCTAACTTAGGGTACAAGCTAACTTAAACAATTGGGCTTACAAGCAAGACCCAATTCAACATGCTAACAACCCTAGCAATATTGACTAATGCATGTTAGAACAAACTTCAACTACAACACACATTACTCGCGAACAAACTTCGACCATACTAGAGTTCGATCCAACATCTCACAAACTATAGAAAGAAAAATAAAGAAAGTTGTTATCATTGTGAAAAACCAGGACACTTTAAAAATAAGTGCAGGTTCTTGAAAAGAGAGAACAAAGAAAAGAATTCAAAAGCAACTAAAGACAATCTTGTTGCTATCATCCCTGAAATCATGATAGAAGATATTAATTCTTGGTGGATAGACTCTGGTGTTATCCGTCATGTGTGCAAAAATAAAGAACTATTCAAGGCCATCAATGAAGAAGATAATAGTCTTTTGTACATGGGAAATGTTTCTACTGTCCAAGTCAAACGAAAAGGATCAGTAGAGATTGAATTCACGTCTGAAAAAATATTCACTCTTAAAGATGTAGTTTATGTTCTCGAAGTTAGGAATAACTTGATTTATGTACCTTTACAATTAATAAATATAATTTTAAATATGTATTTAAGGGAGATAAGTTTATTCTCTCTAAAGCGGGAATGTTTATAGGAAAATGTTATCTTTGTGAGAATATGTTAATGTGTAATATTGTTAATAACAATAATAATAATGTGATTTTTGCTTATATTGTTGAGTCTTGTGATTTATGACATATGCGACTAGGACATGTTAATTTTAGAAAATTAAATGATATGATAAAATCAAATTTAATTCCAACACTTGACAAAAATTCGAATTCATGTACTACTTGTATGTTAACTAAAATCACAAGACAACCTTTTAAAACAGTTGAAAGAAGTTCTAAAGTGTTAGATTTAATTCATTCTGATGTATGTGATTTACATGGTTGACTCACAATAGGTGGTAAAAAGTACTTTGTCACTTCCATTGATGATTGCACTAAATTTTTGTTACGTTTATTTAATGCATTCTAAGGATGAAGTCTTAGACAAATTTAAAATTTTTTAAAGCACAAGTAGATCTTCAACATGAAATCTTCATTAAATGTTTTAGGAGTGATAGAGGGGGAGAGTTCTATCATCCTAATTATTTTGAGTCCACTGGTATTATATATCAAATAACTGCATCATATTCCATACAACAAAAAGGGATAACAAAAATGAAAAATATGGTGTTGGAAGAAATGGTAAATATCATGTTATCATATTCTGGTTTATCTAAAGGATATTGGGGTAATGTCATGCTAATTGTATGTTATATATTGAATAGAGTTCTTAATAAAAGGAATAAGATAACCCTATATGAACTCTAGAAGAAAAAAAATTCAATCTTAATTATTTAAAAGTTTGGGGTTGTAGAGCAGTTGTAAAGGTGTCTGAACCAAAGAGAAAGAAATTAGGAGAAAAAAGAACTGAATGTGTATTTTCGGGATATGCTTAAATTAGCAAAGCATATAGATTCATGGTTATTGAATTCAATGACTCATATCCTATTAATATCGTGATTGAGTCAAGAGATGTAATTTTTCAAGAGAGTATATTCACCTCAATTAAAAATCTCAAAGACAATGTTTATTATAATGTTCAAAGTCTAGAAAGTAATGTATATAATAATGATATGTTGGCGTGCTCAAAACCTAGAAGAAGTAAAAGAATCTGAAAAGTGAAAAACTATGGACCAGACTTCTTCACGTTCCTTGTAGAAGGAAATAATGATTCAATAAATCGTTATAGACCTATTTTTTATAACCTAGAGAATAATCCAGGAACATTTGAAGAGGCAATAAAATTTCAAGATTCTACCTTTTCGAAAGAAGTTATCCAAGAAGATATGGACTCAATTATGGGTAATAAAATCTGGAAACTAGTAGATCTCCCACCAGGATCAAAACCAATAGGTTGTAAATGGACCCTTAAACGAAAAGTGAAATTTGATGGTACTATTGAAAAATTCAAAGCTAGACTTATCGTTAAAGGAATTACACGAAAAGAGGAAATTGATTATTTTGATACATATGCACCTGTTGCAAGAATTTCATCAATTATAGTGCTTTTGGCACTCGGTTCCATCTATAAATTTGTCATTCATGAAATAAATGTTAAAACTATCTTCCTAAATAGAGAGTTAGATGAAAAGGTGTATATGAAACAAGCTGAAGGGTTTGTTATCAAAGGTCAAGAACATAAAGTGTGTAAATTAACTATATATGAGTTAAAACAAGCACCCAAACAATGACATAAAAAATTTGACCAACAAGGACGTTGCACCATAAAGTTTCAACATGGTTTTCAACATGCGAAAATTCTTGAAATGGTTTACCTTCAAGTGAAGTATAATCTACTTTAGGTGGAGTATGATAATTTCTAAAACTATGATTGTCGGTGAAGATAACGTAAAATTTTTGGAGTGGTTTAGCTTCAAGTGAAATTTATTTTTCATGATAAAGTATATGATTGTCGGTGACGACAATGTGAAATTCTTGAAGTGGTTTATCTTCAAGTGAAATATATTTTTCATGAGAGAGTATGATAATTTTTAAAACTATGATTGTCAGTGAAGACAGTGTGAATATTCTTGGAGCGGTGTAACTTCAATTGACTATACTCTTTATGGTGGAGTATGCTTGTCGGTGAAGACAATGAGAACTTATTATTTTCAATCAAGGTAGAGATTGTTGGAATTGTAGTGCACAAGATTGTTAAGATTGTATTATTTTCAATTAAGACTATGAATGTCGGTGAAGACAATAAAATCTTATGTATTAAGTTAAACTAACCCACAAATACACCGTAGTGCACGGAGGCCACATTGCCGTAGATAATCTCCATGCATTGTAACTAGTGTTGAAAAAAATGCATAGAGAGAAAAAGAGTAACAGAACAAACTACGGCGATTGTGGAATGACAATTAGAACAAAGAAAATCTAAATATAAATTTAAAATATTTTTGACTTATGTCTCGAAGAATTTAAATTTTATATATAATATTGGGCTTCTTCTTCAACATGTATATTTTTAATCAACCTTAACGATGTGAGTAAAAAAAAAATGAAGTAAGACATTTTCAAACTTTCATCACATGGGATAGTGCAATGTGCTGCTTAACTTCTCCTAGTTAATTTTCCCTTTTAAACAAATTTTCACTCCGAATTATACTTCCAAGCAGTCGTAAAAGTTGTAGCTAGATCTCAGTTGCCACTTATTTTTCTCTATTTGAATTTTCACAACTCATTATATGATCAAAATATTATCCAATGGTGAATTATTCAGTATTGCACTAAACCGTCTTTTTATATATATATTTGAATAGCTCAAATTGAAAACCTAACCTACACATTAAAAAAAAAAAAAACTTTCAGAATTTACTATTAAATATAGGATTGAGCACTTATTATGAAAAGAGAAGTTAATGATTTGCATTCATATAATTAACTATGAGTGACAGGTAGTACATGAGAGCTCTGTCACTATTGAGATGCAAACCATTCTTTATTTACAAGTACATATATGATGAGATCCACGACGAAACTAGCTTAATGTTAATTAAGAATTTAAGATCAACCGATGCATCCAAATCCAAGGTCCAAGTTATGCATTGGAGGGTCGGTTGAAGGAGTTCTTTCTTGCCGTTGCCAAGACAGTCTTGTCAGCTACTATGAAATAGGCTGCTCCAGCCACTACAAACAAACAGAATATGAGAGTAAGTATCCAACCAACAATGATTGTGAGGAGAATAATAGCTCAATGTTTTGACAATAAAGAAGAATAAACTAACCGGTTGAAATAATGAGAGCTTGTGCAGTGTGATTGAGGTTTGCTCTTGCCCAAGGTAGCATCCTGACACTAGCCAGCTGCATATCAAGCATATATATACCAAAACTCTCTTAGGATTTTCTAAAGTGTAAATTAATAATGTGATCTGTGTGAAAAAAAAATGAAAGAAAATAGAATGGATGGGAAGGAGTAGTTACAGTTGGAATGGCAGTGGCAATAGTAGCAACAACAGCTGCCTTTGCTCCAGCCATCACACCTTCTGTTTACACAACAAACACATGGAAAAACAAAAATATAAAAAACAAAGGAAACAGAAGATTATATTATAGCTTGATAGTATAATTAGTTGGTAAAGGGTGCATTACGATGAGAACAGCGTTTGGCCATGGCCATCCTCTGATCTAGATAAGCCAAACTAGTTTTCTCAAGAGAAGAGTTAGCAGCAACGTTTCTCTGTGCCATCTTCAAAGATTGAATTGAATTGAGTTGAACAAAAGGTGAATATATATAACTGGTGTAGTTTTGAATGAAGAGTGTATGAAGTTGGGTGCATATTTATAGTGAGTTGGTGAAAGATTAGGTTGATTAACAAAAGTATGTTGAAGCCAAGAAAGAGAAAAGAGTGGCACTAGGAAAGGTGGAGTTTGATGGTTTCAGATGAAATCCACAGTCTCAAGTCTCAGACAGTTGTTTTCACTTTGGTTTTATGCACCTGTTATTTTTCGTATGATCCTGTGTCTCATTGTTTATTTATTTGATGCATTCTAGTAAGATAAAGAAAAGCTCCTTTAGCAATGTGGCAATGTGTATGGAAGAAAAAAATGGCTGAAAACAATTGGACCGATGCAGTGAACGTCCCACTACTATTTCTTGCTTTTTGCTTTCTATGCTCTCTCTCTTTCTTCCGCATTTTAAACTTTTGACTAAATTAAAAATTAGATAAAATTAACACCAGAAGTAAGTAATTGTAAATGACAAAAAGATGTACAATCTAGATTTTTAATTTAGGATTTTAAGAAATTTATAATATATATTTTTTAATTGTTAAAATACTTTATTGATTTTGAAGTTATGAAATGATTCTATGGTCTCTTGGTAAAAAAAAAAGTTAATAAAAAATATAGTAAATAAATTATAAGATTTAAAAATGATATTTTCAATTCTTGGTCAAAAAAAAGTTAATTAAAAAGATAATAAATAAATTATAACATTTTAATTAAAGTAAAAAATGGATATAAATTTTAAACAAAAAGAGACTATTACTTTTTTTTTAATAGCAAATGAGAAACTATATAATAAAAAAAAATAAAAAAATAAAAGTTATATAGCACAAATAGGAATAAAGACTATGCAAAACACCAAACTAAACTAACACGCAGGCTGAAAAATAGAATAAAAGAGCAAAAGCAACACGCAACAAGAAAAAGAAGCAAATATTAGGTAACCCAACAATTTAATAAATCGTGAAAATTTGGAAACAACGGAGCTCCAAAGAGAACGAGTTGGAGGGACGTAGACACAACTGCCTACACATAACAAGAGGAATGAGTCCCCCCAACAACAACAACCCCCTAAACGCGAAGCCACTTTAGTGGATCTTGCTCTTAGTCAGTCAAAGAAACGACAAAACCCAGAGTATGAGCCTTAACCCACTTCTACACCAAACTAATAGTCGTAGTCATCCAGTGATTAACAACCAAACTCCCTCGACAAAAAATTACCCTATTCCACATTTTCCAAAGTTTTAAGATCAAAACATGTCAGATCGAGGTCAAGCCTAAGGACGTCGATTTCCCATGCCCTAGGCCCTTTAACAAATAAAACACCCCTAAAACTAAATGAGGTAAAGGCCCAAGCCACCTCACCCACCTAAAAACTCTATACCAAATAGCTTAAGCAACCTCACAAAACAAAGAGATTATCAGCCAACTCCACATTCCCCTCACATGACACACACCCTACACTATCATACCCAAACACGATTTGTCGCCTCTTTCCTGGTTGACAACCTATTCTAAAACAACTTCCATGAGAACACTACAACTTTTGAAGGCACTTAACTCTTCCAAACATTATAAATCCCCCACAACACCCTCTCTGGCATGTCATCTCTACCCTCATGGACCCCTAAAGTAAACATAAGTTAATCTAATCGAGAAAACCTTATTTGAATATGGTTTCCAAACCCAAGAATCATCCTGACCTCGCTTAAACACTCCTGAAATAATTTTGAGCCAATACTCACAAATCTCCTCCTCCCAAACTAAAGAAGGTCGTCACCGTCTAAAACTCCAAACTCAAACATCCCCTTCTCAAGAACCCATAGCACCCACCACATGAGAGTTTTGATCCGAGATAAGAAATAACCTATCAAGAGAGACATAAAGAGGGGTGGTCCCCACCCATACATCATGTCAAAATCTAGTCTTCTGACCATCCCCGACCAATTTAGCATAAGAAGAGGCAAACTAATATGTCTCGTGACCAAGTCGGGGCCCAAAGAGAGAAACGCTTTTCCACCAACGAGACACTTTCCTAAGGCCTCATACCCTACCCTTAAAGGGGGACCAAAACTCTAAGAACCATAGTTATCCAAGATAATGTCCCTCCGGGGCGAAGGCATATCTAAGAAAATCCTTTACCATCACTTACTAAGCAAGGCAAAATTAACATATCTATGATCCTTCACTCCTAACCCATTTTCTCTTTTGTCTTTTCGAACATCCTTCCATTTAATCCACACATCCTTAGAACCTCCTTTGGAACCTCTCAAAGAAAGTGGCTTTGTATACCAACAAAATTATTCCAAACCAAGGTTGGCATATTCATGAAAGACAAAAAGAACATTGAGATCAAGTTCAACACTAAGTTAAGCATAATCACCATCTCTCCTAAGCTCACAAATCTATTCCTTCAAGAACATAACCTCTTCAATTATATCTTAACCAAGGGATCCCAATTCCCTATCCTCTTTGATTTTGCATCTACCAGAAGCCCTCAGCTCGATCCTAAAAAGGCATCTCCATATTAACTCCAAATAAACAACTCTTAGAAAAATTCACTTTGAGCCTAGAGATAACCTCAAAACTCCTAAGAACTTCCTTAATTGTAAAAAGCTCTTAGACGATAGAACTCCCGCCAGCATCATATCATCGACGTATTAGATATGAGAAATCTCTAATCTCTATGTCCCACCTTGAAACCTTTAAAAGCATCTACCAAGACCGATTTCCTCAAAGAAGCACCCAGACCTTTCTACCACTAAAAGAAAAAGAAAGGGAGCTAAAAAATCTCCTTGCTTAAGACCATTATTGATACTAATCTCATTAGTTGGGCATCTATTCAAAAGGATCGAGAGGATAACCAAAAACACACAAGCTCTAATCTAACCCTATGACATATCGCCAAATCCAGACTCCGCAATATGTGATCCAAGAAAGACCAATTGACTGAGTCGTAAGTCTTCTCAAAATCCACATTAAACACCATACACTTTCTCTTAGACACCTTTTCCATATCTAAAATCTCATTAACACCAACCACTAAATACACTTTCTCCCCCTCTTAATAAAAGTTGATTGTTCATTTGAAATAATCTTCCCAGTGACTCTAGATAACCTAGCAGCCAACACTTTAGGTACAAAATTATACACATAACCAAGAAGGCAGATAAGTCTAAACTCTCCCAACTCCAAGGGAGACTCAACCTTAGAAATTTGAGCGACAAAGAAGGACGTCAATCTTTTAGTCAATATAGCATTCTAGAAAAACTTGTCCGACATGAAGTAAATCTCCTCCTTAACTAATCCCTAAACCTTCTTATAGAAAGAAAAATTCAATCCATTAGGACCCAGACTCTTACACTCATCTATCTTAGATATCACCGCATCCATTTTTGAAAGCAAAAACCTCGCTGAGAGGAACTATACCTCAACTATATACAAACAAAGGACTTCCGAGTCAGAAAAATGCTCCCTAAAATACCTAAAGATCTCCTCTCGAACGTCAGAGACCTTTTCCAACAAGAGATCTCCCACACTAAGAGCAACTTGAATATTCCCCTACTTCTCTTTTTAACACAGGCATGGAAGTACCCATTAATATCATTCCACTCCTTCCCTATTAGTGCAGCATCACATCAAAAAGATTATAACTTTATGTTTTTCTAAGTAACATTTATCTATATATCTTTGCATATACTATTCCTCCATAAATGACTAAATTATTGCTTTCATTCTTGTGTTTGAAGTTTAATTAGCTCATAATTATTGTTTACATAACTTAATTATACTAAAGAAGAAGATTCATCGGTAGATTCAATCAAAAAGTTTATTAAAAAGTAATTAATTTAAAATAATTACTATTATTTTTAAGGGTCATGCTAACCACTGCCCTCAGGGCACTAGTTAAGAATTCCAAATAAGAAAAATATGTTATATTTAGTTCACTCAATACACAGAATATTCTTTAAAAAGTATGATTATTTCTCTTTTTAGGGCATTGAATACACATATATTTAGAAAAAAAAATGTATTTTCAATCTCTTAAATAATGCCCAACTTACCATTTTAATCTCTTAACCAATGCCCTGAGGGCACTGGTTAGCATTTCCCTATTTTTAATTATAAAAACTGTAATTAATATGTATGAATTAATAATAGAAAAATAAACTTAAAATTTGTTTAATGATAAAAATAAAACACACTAATTAAAATAATAATATTTAAATATGAAATTGATATCTTTAAGAGCACATTTGATATAGATTTAAATAAATGGTTACTTTTTTGTATTTCTTAAAACTAGTTTTTATGATATTAAAAGAGTAATTTTAAAATTCAATAACCTAAATATTCATTATATATATATATATATATATATATATATATATATATATATATATATATATATATATATATATATATATATATATATATATATATATATATATATATATATATATATATATATATATATATATATATATATATATATATTAAAGATTAAAGATTATATAAAAATAGATAGCAAATTAACAGTAAGTTCCGCAACTATCGCTCTTTGGATGAGAATATTTACACCCATAGTCTTAGAAGATACAACATTGTTATCCATGAGACTTTGGATTCTCTATAAAAGATCCATTGCCTCTGGTACTATAAAATCAAAAGTGTCAAAGGTAAATGGTATGAAAGCATGTTAGTTGTTGGAACATGGTTTTTCATGTTTGACCACTTTAGTTGAAGCGACTTTGAGGGTTGGTTGTCCCATAATACAACCTCTAGTCCTTAGTCCCACCACTGAGGAAACCCCGGTCAAGTCCGCGTAGACATATTTCCCTCATACACAGTTGTACAATAGAATATCTACTTACCTAAATGTTGATCTTCCTTCAAATGGGTCAGTCAAGAAATTCATAAGTGTCACTTTCTTCACAAATATTTCGGCCCCCAAAATATATG